AGACCCAAATGACCTCAAGTAACCCCAGTGACCTCATTTGACCCCAAAATCCAATTTTTCAGGCCCAAATGACCTCAAGTAACCCCGGTGACCTCATTTGACCCCAAAATCCAATTTTTCAGACCCAAATGACCTCAAGTAACCCCAGTGACCTCATTTGACCCCAAAATCCAATTTTCCAGACCCAAATGACCTCAAGTAACCCCAGTGACCTCATTTGACCCCAAAATCCAATTTTTCAGACCCAAATGACCTCAAGTAACCCCAGTGACCTCATTTGACCCCAAAATCCAATTTTCCAGGCCCAAATGACCTCAAGTAACCCCGGTGACCTCATTTGACCCCAAAATCCAATTTTTCAGACCCAAATGACCTCAAGTAACCCCGGTGACCTCATTTGACCCCAAAATCCAATTTTCCAGGCCCAAATGACCTCAAGTAACCCCAGTGACCTCATTTGACCCCAAAATCCAATTTCTCAGGCTCAAATGACCTCAAGTAACCCCAGTGACCTCATTTGACCCCTGGGCCAATTATCAGAGCCTCAAATGACCTCAAGTAACCCCCCAGTGACCTCATTTGACCCCTTGGATCAATTTTGGGGGCCTGAAATGACCTCAGGTAACCCCCCATGTCATTTGGCCCCAGTCCCCCTCATTAGACCCCCCAAATGATCTAATTAGCTAATTTTGGCTTCATTAGATCCCCTTTGTGTGTACTAGATCCATATATTAATATATATGAATATATAGTCCTGTGTGTTCTGTTCCTGTAGGTTCACATATATTAATATATTCAATTGTGTATAATTCCATTCTGATATTTTTTATTAATGTAGAATATATCCTACATTAGGATATATTATATATAATTCTAGGAATTCCATGCAATGGAAAAATACCCCCCCTGTTAATGCCCTTCTTGGTCCTGATGGATTATAGATTTTGTTCAATCATTCCCTTGGAATATGTTTTATTAGACTGAAATTTGTGTAAATCATTCCTCCCTCTGTTTGTCAGCATCCACTTGAATTTAACACATAATTGTGGTAATGGTTATAAAATAGCTATTTTATATCTATATATAAAAAAGAGTGTTTTATATCTATATATAAAAAAGAGTATTTTATATCTATATATAAAATATCTATATAGTATCTATTTTATATCTCTCTATAAAAAAATATTTTATATCTATATATAGATATTTTATAGAGAGACTTTTATATATATTTATTTATATTTTTATAGGGAGATAGGAATTTTATATCTATATATAGATATTTTATATATAGATATATATATATTTATATTTTTATATAGAGATAGGAATTTTATATTTATATGTAGATATTTTATATATAGATTTATATATTTATTTATTTATATTTTTATAGAGAGATATTTTATTTCTATATATAGATAAAGATATAGAGAGATATATAGACATAAATATATAAATATAAATATATAAATATAGATATATATATAGATATAAAATATAAAACAGATCCAGGAGACTGAACATCTGAGGCTGGAGCAGGAGATTCTTCTTCCCAGGACTCACAGAACCAACACAACACACACCATGTGCTACAACAAAGGAAATTTTATTTAAAAATAAAACTTTGTTCCGTTTTCTTTTTTTTTTTTTTCTTTACTGACACAGGTGAATGAAATCCCAAACAAAGAAGCTCTTAGTGGGCAGCATACAGGAATGGAAACAATTAATAAATAACATTAGTATAACCTCTAAACATTAACAATGCCTCTGCAAACAAAATGAGGACTTTAAACCAAGTGAACCTTAAAGCTCAGCTACTCTCTGTAAGAATATTTACCTTCTGTTTTTCCTTATTCTTTACAGATCTGAAAGGATTAAATACTGCTATTATAATTTTATATTAATGACACTATTATACTTTTTTTTTTAAAATATTTCGTGAAAATCTCGACTTTTTTTTTTTTTTTTTTTTTTTTACACTGATATTTTACAAATCGGTGTTTTTGTCATTCAAGAGAAAGAACAACAGCGACAGCAGTTCCTCCTCCTCCGCTGGGAATTTTTTTCTCAAAAAAAAACAACAACAAAAAAAAAGAAGATTTCTGTGAGGAACTGTAAAAATAAGTGTCTTTATTTTCCACTAATTTAATTTTTTTTTTTAAAAGGGCACTCGGAGGAAGTGCCCTGGGAGTTGCAAATTTTTTTTTTTTTCTTGCTCGATTGAAAAATAAAATTAAAATAAAAATAATAATTAAAAAAACAAACAAACAAACAGAAAAAAAAAAAAAAAAAAAAAAAACCAGAAAAAACCCCAACCCAACCCCGTTTACAGTAATGACCCTGCCTTGGGATTAGCTCCAGTAACATCCTCAGTCTAGTGCAGGGGCAGCATGCTGGGCTCGGGCTCCCCAGGGGGAAGGACATGCACTCGGGGTGTTGAGAGGGAAATATTCGGGATTCCTGCCCTGAATCCTCCTGTCCTGGCACAGCACTGCCCGGGCACGTCCCCAGGCCCCAGCTGAAATGCTCCAGAACACAGTGGCACAGTTGAAGTGGCAGCTGCCCAGCTCTCTTGCTCCTTCTTTTCACCCCTTTCAAAGCAGTTTCACGCTCCAAGGCCTCTTTGCAGCTCTTGGTTTTCCCCCAGGGATGGGTTTTCCTGGGTCCAGCCTGGCGATGCAGCATTCCCTCGAGGAAGGCACTAGACATTTGGGTTGGTTTTCTTTTTAAAGGAGCGCCGGGAAGTTAATTTTTTAAGGATAAAGAGCAAGGAGGTGAAGGGAAAGAAGAGCAATAATGTGCTGTGCAGTGCCTGGACTGAGCTGGCAGAGCACAGCCACAAGGCATGGCTGCACTCCGTGGAATTAGCAAATCCTTACACGTCTAAGGAAGAAAAGCCAAGACTTAAAAGTTTCCTAAATCAGCTTGAGACACAAAACAGTGCACAGAAAGGACACATGCAGAAAAATCAGTGATACATGCCACGAAGATTGCCCTCTCTAATCTCTAACACCCAGAACAACACCCAGAGGAAGGTCTCTCTTGGCACATAAACCCCAAAGACAGGCCTGGAGCAGCTCTGCCAGGCAGGAGTTAATGGAACATTAACAACCAGCCTGCCATGAAGGGACAGGGCATCACTAGTCTGAGCACACACACTGTGCAAGACAAGAGTTAAGGCTTTGGAGCTGGCTGGACTGGGCTCTGGCACAGCCTGGGCAGTGGCAAGAGTCACCTGTCCCCCTTGGACACACTGGCACTGAGTTCACACAGCAGGGCAGACACAAAGTGGCTCCAAACCCACGGGAGCTGGGGGGCAGCACTGGGGGGAGTGTGAGAAGGAGGGAAAGCAAACACAGCACTCCCTCACAGAAGGGTTTCCCTGGATCTCCAGGACAGACAAGGAACTGTCAGGCTGCTCAGGCTCCCCAGCGTGAGGCAACAGCCAGAGCTGCCTGTTCCTGCCTCAGCAGCACCAGCACTGGAACTGCTCCTCCAGCAGCTCCCACAGCCACACTGGCAGAGGAAGTGGGCACAGGAGGAGGTTCCTCGAGTGCGAGAGGCACTGACACCACAGCTCAGCAGCTTCCCCAGGGCCCCAGCTCGGGGCTGTGCCTGACCCCTCTGTGCCTGCACAGCCCTGTGCCCTGACATCAACCTCCCCAGGCTGCTGCACTGGCAACTCCCAGCCCTGGCCCCGAAATAGCAAGTGCTGGTGGCCTCCAAGTGCTGCAGGAGATCCCCTTACGGTTTCTGAGAATGTTCTCTTCACTACAAGAAAGGAGGGGAGTAAAGAGAGAGTTCAAACTGCCTGGAACCCACTGCATCGATTCACAAAGCTGCAGGTCCACGGAGAAACCTCTACTTTAACCAAAAAAAACCATTTTATGCTCAATTCCCTCTGCAAACACTTGTTAACTCCTCTCTGCCAACTGCAGCCGTTTGGCTGAGATCTGGGCCCAGCCTCTGGATTCTTCAAAAGGCCAAACTGCATCCAAGTGCCAGAATCACTCCAGCAATATTCCAAGTTGCAGCCCTTTGCCTACTGACCACTGCTGACCTGGGAGAGATGCAAATAATGCTGGACACGCTCCAAAGGCCAAGGGCCTCTCTGTGTGCACAGTCTGTCAGCTGGGATCTGTGTATGCCTCCTTGACTTAAATCCTCTCCAGAGGAACCATCCACTCCTCCTGCATGAACAGAGTTAAGTAGCTGAGTCTGCAGGTCAGGTTTTTCCAATGTAACAGCTGAGTTCTGACCTTTAAAGCCACGTGATCATTCTACAAACACAGAATTTGCCCAGGTCTGTTTGAACACGAGATCTGGCAATACCTTGAGAGCAATGGGAATGGAAAGAAGAGCCCCCCATGTCGTTTTTTGGACAGCCATGCAGGAGGAACTGCTGCAATTTCTTTTACTGCAAAGCAGGTGAGATACCCAACAAACACATCAGCTGCATCTACCAATTCCACAACACACCCTGGCACGAAGATGGCTCCTGCAAAAGCTCTCTGAAGGAGGTGATGGAATGTGAGTGAAGGCCACTAAGTCTGCAACAGCCACCATGCAATTAAGATAAATAAAACATCATATTCACCAGGTGCAACATTCCTAGGAAAGAGAGTCTGGTGACAGCTGCTCGAGCCCAGCGGGGCCACAGTCAAGTTTGAGCACTGAAGCACAAAATGCTCAAGGCTAAAAAAAAGGAGGAGAAGCAGCAGCCAGTTCTTTGCTCTCCCTCAGAGTCTTCCCATCCCTCCAAAACACGCCAAACTCCTGGCACTTCCAGCTGCCTGGAATCTGGTGCTGCCAGTGCTGCAAGAGGGCACACACAGGAGGGAAATCCAACTCCCAGCACTGCCAGGATCAAAAACCCTGACAGGAGCTGCTCCTGCTATCTCCACACAGCAAGGGAGGGCTGGAATCACAAGCAATAACTGCTATTAGTACAGGCAAGAGGGACACGCCGTGGCAAAGAGGAAGCAATCAAACGATTCTTCCAAGGTCTCCTATTTATTCCCAGCAGAAAGTGACCTCCCAGCTGCTCTAAAAAGCCTGAGCCAGACACACAGCAGCGAACAGATCCAAACCTAGTACCATGAACCACAGGACACACCACACCGACCTCGAGACTCTTTGTTTCTCTGAGCATTCACTTAAAATTCACAGCACAAAACACTCCCCCAACAGCCTCCAGGGCATGGGCTCGGGGGTCCCTTGTCACGACACTTTTCTCCACCAACACCCTGGAAATAAATCTGTTCTCCCAGACAAGAGGTAGGGGTAAAGGACTCCAAGACATTACACTGTATAAAACACCACTCTGCTCCATTTCATTCCTCTGCTTTGAAATCTGGAACCACAAAAACCTGACAACTGATTCTCTTTGAGAGGCAGGACTGACCTCAGCACGAAGTCTCTAAAGGAACCCCCTTCCCCTTTGGTGCACAGCTGGGCCACAGCTGCCCAGGCAGTTGGTCCACAGAAGTTGTAGGTGTGGAGGTGTCCTGTGCTATGTGGCCACGTGAGCAGGGGAGGAAATGGAGACGAACTCCCGGAGAATATTCTTGGCCATCTCAATATTGTTATGTGCAATGACCAGGGCTTTCTGAATGTCCTGATATGAGTAGCCTTGGCTCATGAGGTTCTCGATCTCGCTGGAGAGCTGCAGGGATGAGCTGGCCCCACTGCTGGCTCCTCCTGCTTGGCAGCTCCCGGCTTTCCGCTCGGAATTTATCCGCCGGGGCAGCGGCTTTGGCGGCCTCTCCGGAACTTGGGAGCCATCTGAAAAACCTGGAAGGAGAAATGAAGGCAGCACTTGAAACAAGGACGTGTAATTTTGGCCTGGAACAAAGAGGGAATGACATCAGGCTGATAAATGGCACTTCAAAAAACCTGTCGCTGAGCTCTGGCGCTTTCTCCAACCAGCTCAGCCTTCCTTCCAACCAGCTCATGGAATCCCAGAATACGCTGAGCTGGAAGGGACCCACAAGGATCATCGAGTCCAATCCTTAGCCCTTCACAGGACCATCCCCAGGAGTCACATCATGTGTCTGAGAGTATCCATTTCCAGTGCCCAACCAGCTCATCCTTCCTTCCAATCAGCTCAGCTTCCCCCCTTGTGTGCAAAACCTGCTACGTGGAGATGTTTTTGATCAGCGAGTCACATCAGGCTCATTTATTAAGATAAGACCACATAAATAGAAAAAAATGTCATGGGTTCAATGTGGGTGAGCAGAGCTCAGATATCAGCCCTAGAATAAGCAGCAGAGATTTGCTGGGAAAAGAAGTGACAGAATATGCAACTCTTTATCCAACATCCCATTTCCTTCTGGAATGAGACAGAACCCCCCCAGCTGAGCTGATCTCTCCTCTCAGACCTGCTGTGCACGCTGCAGAGTGCCAAGGGAGGGTGTGCACAGAGCCAGCTCTATCAGTCCCAGCTCAGCCACCACAAATGCTCCAGCGACTGAATTATGCTCTCTGAAGGGTCAGCAGCTGAATGTTCTCCTGTTCCCCTGCTGGAGCTCACCCTGCCCAACGGCTGCAGCCAGGGCAGATCAATAAGCTCAGCCTGTTCTGCCTTTCCCTTAGTCATTCAGATGAGGCAGTGCCCAGCAGCCACATCATGCCCTTCTGGGAAGAGAAAAGAATAGCCAATAAACCAAACGAGTCACCAAACTCTCCAAGGCAAAAATCACGTTGCTTAATGTGTTAATGTGGTAATTTTGGCATTCTGACCTCCTGTATCGCTGCAGAAAGCATTTATTGCCAATCACAGGAAGCTTTTCTGCGTGGATATCTGACATCACCTTAGAGAAAGTCTTATTTGTCTTCTGGAAAAACTCCTCAGGGCATTCTCTGGAGTTTTCCAGCAGCACAACAGACAAGTCCCAGCAATCCCTTTTTAAGAGTGGGCACTGTAGCCCTGCTCAGAGAGGCACCATTGTGGGGCTTTTCTGAAAAACTTGCACCAAAAGCACTAAGATAGAGAAGGCTCTTCAGGAAACAAATTCCCTGAGCCTTCCTCACTAACCACAAGGCAGTTCAGCTCACTAATGTTCACAGGACAAGCTTCTCACACATAAAAAGCCTTTTGTACATGTAAGAAAAAGGTCTGCCCACTCCTCTCCCCTGAAGTGCCTTTTGAGAAATAGCTGTTTCAGCTTGAACTGGATCAAATTTCAGAGACCACAGGTCAATCTGAAAGGACAACTACCAGGACAGCTTTTTTGGTAAATGATTAATAAACCAAACTGCAGGGCACAAGGCACAAGAACATAAATCTGCCAAGATGTATCCCACACTGCTCAGGCTTGCTTGCACAGTGCCTATGCTTCCCACAGCAGCAACAATCAGCATTCCCACATTTTCCATTAGCAGAGCTCCTAACACCAAGGCAGGACAACAGCACTGTTATTTCAGGGCTGTCAAAACAAAGAAGTGTCAGTGATTAAGCTCAGTACTTCATCTGGGAGAGGGATGTGACTCCCTCTCCGTCCTTTCTCATCCCTTCCAGCCACGTTCTCCAGACACAGTGCCAGGCTCAAAAAGGGAGGCAGGGAGGAGTGGCAAAAGGCTAATGAACTTCTCTGCACTAGGAAACTCTCCTCTGCTGAAGGACAGAGGCTCAGGGAAGGAGAATGATGAAGCAAATGAACAGAAATCTCACTGGGGTAGGTGGTTCTGGGAACAGGAGGCTCTGCCTCCAGAAGGAACAAGAAACTCATTCCTCTTCCTTGGCAAATCCCCAGCATGTTCAAACATGCTGAAAGCCCCCCAACAGGAAGTTTTTCAGAGCTTCCTTAAGAGTTGCTGGGCAGTTGTAGGGAATAAGTCATGCATTATTCAGAAAGGCTCTTGGAGAAATGAGGCTTTAGTTTTTTCCCCTCTGAGAATGTGCCTTGCAGCCAGAAGGACACGATGTCCCCTACTCCCGGGGGACAAAAAGCCGACCTTGCTGAGCCACTGGGTCCCTGCTCAGAGGAACTGAGAGCATCAGACAGAACACTTGTGCCATCTGCAGGCACTGAGGCACAGGCTGTGCAAGGCCAGCACTGGCATCTCTCACCTGGAACAGGGATAGAACCACACAATGGTTAGGGTTGGAAGGGATCTTAAAGCTCATCTCGTTCCACCCCCTGCCATAGGCAGGGACACCTTCCACTTGCTCCAAGCCCTGTCCAACCTGGCCTTGGACACTTCCAGGGATGGTTGCCTTGGTACACCCTGGTACAAAAGCACAGTGGCCTAAGGAATATTCCTTAAGCTCAGGAAAGGCTTTTCTAATTGTGATTTCAAAGTGATTTTCTAGCTCAGTGATTAAATGACCAAGGCAGTGTATTCCAAGCCGTAAATCAAACCAAACACCCAAGAGTGAGTGTGATTCTGCCTTGTAAACCTGATTTTACAGCTTACACCCAAAACCTCGAGCGAGTGACACGAGTTTCAAACACGCAGAGAAAGCCAGAAGTGCCCTCTAACCTGTCCCAGGGTCGTTTTCCAAGGACATTCGGCTGAAGGCAGGAGTGGCATTGGAGATATCGGACAGTGTGCGACGAGCAAGGGCAACTGGGAGTGGTGGTTTGGGGATGTCATAACCATCCTCTTCATTTTCTGACTCTTCAGGGCCGTTGCTGGCAGTGGCTGCTGCCAGATCCCCTTCATCTGGAACGGGAAGCACATCCTGAGCTCTGGGACTCGGAGTCTCTCAAGCAGACTCTGTTCCCCCACACCCCCCAAAAACACTGACAGGACACAGAACTCAAGGTTTTGCTGCTAAAACCACACCTTCAATGGAAGCTCTTTCCAGAAGGGAGCATTAGGTTAAAAATACTTGATAGATGCAGTACACAGACCCAGATATTTCCACAGCTATTTTAATAACAAAAAGCAAATGTTACTCTGTTCAGCTGAAAACGCTGTTCCAACTGGGATCAATCCATTGTGCCCCAGTTTCTCAGTTGTTTGTTAGCACACCCACTCACCAGAAGTGTTGACAGGCTCGAAAGCAGAGGATGCTGCTTGGGAGTGAATGTTGTACATTGCTTCATACATGGAACCCTCTGGCTGCTGCTCACAGTCCAAAACTCTGAGGGAGAGAACACGTTGCCCTTGGCACCAGAGACAGTGGCCACCACCTCCACCTCGCCTCTGTGACTGACATTCTGCACAGATTTTGTTTCAAAGTGAAATCACCACTCTTCTGTGACATATTTGTTCCAGAAAAATGCTCTAATAACGTCTATTGCAGTGCAGCATCTCAGCTCAAAATAGATCAACTGATACCACCAAAACACTGCATTTTGAGTTTTGAATTTCAGTTGTTTCTGCTCTCAAGAGGTTATTAGCAGGGAGAGGGGGAAGGGGTTATCTGACTCCTTTAATGCTGTGCAAGGACTCTGCAAAAAATTCCTTTACAGCTATTTTAGCCTAGATCTGGTGAACATCACTGGGGGAATTCAGAGAACCAAGCAAGTGAAATCCCCACCCTGCTGCCCAAACGTGCTGTCCCAGAGCTGTGACAGACACACAGAACCTCACCGTAAACTCTGAGTCACTTCCAAAGGCATTTTCATCTCTGGTTTTTGTACAGCAGGACCTGGAGGCACCACAGGGAGAGAGGATGGTGACATGTATTCAGTGTCCTCATCGCTCTCAGACTGCTCCCCAGGAGGCAGTTTTGGTACAGGCAGTGGTCTGGAGGCAGAAGAAACGACATATAAACACCAGAAGAACATTTACATAAATATAACAGTTAGATATTCATACATCTAAATACTGTCAAAGTGCCCTTTCAAATCCACAGTGTAGTCATGTTACAGCAATTCTGTCTAAAGCAATAAAGTGGTTTTCAGGACTTCAAGGTCACTGTGCAGAAGGAGGTGACAGTATCATATAAATTCACATCACCCACTTCACATGCAGACCAGCTCAAAACTGGATTCATGGAAGAGCTGATGGCAACTGGAGCCTGTTTCCTACTGCCACAGCCAAGGGGAACTAGCACCACTCCCCACAGCTCTCTGGGATCTGATTTCATCTGCTTTCCCCAGACTGTGTGTTTTGAGTCTGTCAGGAATGAAATGAAGGCTGACAGAGTTGTGTCAAATTCTGCCCCTGGCACCAGCACCACTCTGTAAATTATAAAAGAAAACAAGAGACCTGGCAGCTAAGGAGTAGATGGCATTGGCAGACGAGGAGGGTTTAATTTTGGGGTGTTCACACTCTGAGGTTGCTGCTGGACCACTGTTGGAGCTCTGAAAGAAAAGAATTCCAAAGAGGAGTCAGAAACACCACAAATACCAGTGCAGCTGCAAAGCCAGTCACTCAGCAAATCCCCTGAGGGAATGAAGCATCTTCCTTTATTCCAAAGCATTTACTTAGAAATCCAGGACTTCTGTGACAGTTTTCCCTCAGTGAGGACACAAGCAGGGACTTTCCTGCAGGAGGAACTTCCCATCTTTTGAGATTCCAATGGCCTTGGCAAATTCAGCTGAAACAGGCCAAAAATGGGGGACAAGAGGAAAAGGATGTAGACAAGCACACACACAGGCAGACAGGATGGCAACTGTGCAAGTGTCATTTTCTTAGACAATCTGGCTAAAAACGTCCTTGCTTTCTATTTTAGAGAGCTGGAGATATTTAAAGGAAAAATTAAGGAAATGGAATCGAGGAAAGCAAAACTGCCTGCAATTTTTTTTTGAGAACAATAGAGACTCCTCAGCTCCACTGGTAACAGTGCCCAGTGCATTAACAGATCCAAACTAAACTCAGATTTTACTGTGTTCAATCCATCACAGCTACTTTGTGCATGCTTTTCAGGGCTCAAAAACCAGCAGAGTAAATCAGGCTTTTTCAGCACACCAGCTCCCAATGGAAAGCATTCCCAGCCTTCCAAAACTGAAAGGGGAACAGTGATCATGCATCTGAAACTGGCACTTCAGCCTTGCCCCCAAGAGGCACGAAAGCACTTCCCTAAGAAGTCCCCCCTTGCCTGGCATCCACCAGTCCCTTTCCATCTCTCCCCTGGCACAGGATCACACCGTTCAGCGTGAGCAGAGGGCACCTTGGAAGGCTGATTTTCTCACAGATCACCCCCAGCTCCGCCAGGTCTACTCACCCCCGGGTTGTCCAGGCTGAGGGTGCTCCCGAGCCGGTGGCTGTCAGCCCTGGAGTCCATCTGGGAGGGCAGGGAGAAGGGAAGCGAGTGCCTGTTGGACAGTTCTCTCCCAGCCCAGGGGTCCCCGGGGCTCACGGCCACAGGGGGGGCTTTGGGGATGGGTCTGGATGGCCACAGGTCCCCCTGACGGTTGGAGGGCACCGGGGGGGGTTTGTCCCCCGGGGTGCAGGGCAGGGGTCTCCTCTGAGGGCGCCCCTCGTTCCCCAGGGAATGCGGCCGGTCCGGAGGCGGCGGCGGGGGGAGGTCTCGGAGCGTGGGGGGGATTGGCAGAGGTTTGTCCTTGTGGAGAGCACCAGGGGCGGCCTGCAGGGCACAAAAATGCAAGAGATTGCTTAACACAGGTAGGCCCAGCCATAAAAGATAAACGGGAGGGAGAGTTTTGGTTTGTTTTTTTTTTTTTATCTGTTTTTTACAAGGAGTTATCTCAGGGGATGTGGAGATATGTCCACACCTTCTCCACAGGCTCCAAGAGATAACACAGCAACTACGTGCACTACACCCCAAACAGCCCAGATTCTTTCTCTTGGAGGAGAACAAGAGCTCACAGCAGTATTAGATGGGATTCCAAACAAAGCCTACCAAATCATTAAAAAAGCGATTCAGTTGTGGGTTATTTATACAAGTTAGCAGCCAGCAGTCAGCAATGAATATTCTTAAAAATAGATCTTTTCTTCTGCCTGGACTTTCATAATTTCATTACTTCATCCAAACCAGATGAAGAACTGCTGCTGTATCTCAACAAGGAATAAACAAACGCCACCAAGATCATCCTGCTGCCTCCTGCTGATCAAGCACAAAGCCAGTTCACTCCTCCCACCCACACACATTTAATTCTTTAGTTCTTTATCTGAATAAAAAGCTCGATGGAAAAAAATCGTGAAGAAAAGTTCTTTATGCTGGTTCTCCCTGAAAATCAGAGCTGAAAGGGTAAAAGGTGTGTTTGACCTTGGAAGTGGTGCCAGGACTGGAAGCCCCGGGGGGGTTGGACACTCGCTGCTGCAGGAGATCCAGGCGTGGTGGCACGGGAGGAAGGGCAGCCTGTGGAGCCACGGAGAAGGGAGAGGGAGGACGCTCCACCTGAGACAGGGAAGAATGGGAAAATCAACAGATGACTCGATGCAGCAGAGCCCCTTTCCTCTAGAGAGGCTTTAAATCTCTGTGACTCAGACTGGCTGCAATATTGATGACAAATCACTCTGTGATAAACAATTATACTGCTGGTAATGAAGGCAGTGTCACAGGACAGGCAGCAAGCCCTGAAAACACACACTTAGCAACACAAGCCAAGCTGTTTGGTTGGAGTAACAAATCTGCCTGAGCAGGAACAAGCTGCTTTTGGACACCAGAGGGCACAAGCTGCTGCAAAACCTGCTGTCACTGTGCAAACTGCCTCAACTACAGTGTCAGGGCTGGTGCAGCAATCACCCCATCTTTGTCCCTAGAAAGGTGTTTTTCCACCCAACAAATCCAAACAGTGCCTCTTCTTCTCTTTATTTTCTCTTTTTACAAGCAAAGCTTGTGCTTTCTAACTTTGAAAAGCTTTACACAGGTTTGGACTCACTAATGCCAACACAGTACCATCCTACTCCACACCCTGACAGGATGTCTCACCAAGGAAATTGCTTTGCTTCCCCAAGATATGTATAAATAAACTACCCCCAGGAATAGTGTTTAGTACATTACTTCACAGAGTGAAAGATAAAGACAAATAAGACTACAGGTAAACCAGAGCAAAATATTCTTTCTGACCAGAAAAGGCAGCTTATTTTATTTGATTCAACTATTAAAAATTAGCCAAATTCAAACCCACTTCCCTATGCAGTAAAACAGTGCAAGAGCAGTGATGAGATTTTAGGAAAAAGCCACACAGGGATCCCTAAAAAATGTCTGCCTTATACACAGCTCCTGGAGGGAAGCAGCACTAATGGCAGAGGTATCACACCTTTATTATGTACACTTATCAGGCAGCATAAAAAAAGCTGACAGTCAAATTGACTTCCTCAGCAAAACAGCCTGTCCTCTACCCTGTTTAGTCATCAGGACCTTGGGAAGGCTGTGCCTGCCTGGTTGTACTCACCACTGGGGAAAACTGGAGGGATTTGTGCTGATCTGGGTGAACTCTGGCTGGTAAATCAAAGGCAGCGTGGCCAACACGCAGAGGAGTGTTACAAACCTACACCTGCCATTCCCACAGGTCAGGCCAGCCCTTCTCACCCTTCCAGGGATTCTTTCAATACACAAGAGATCAAAGGATTCCAAGTGTTTAATAAAACTGACAGCGTGAACTTAACTCACCAAACTGAACCTAAATCCCTGTTTTCCATAATGAGTAGGATCTTTTCCCTTTATAAGGTTTGACGACCCTCACAGGCACAAATCACTAAAACCACAGGAAACTGGTGGGCAAATGCACTGCCAGGCCTTCTGTCACCCACTGCAGGGACCTTACTTTGGTACCAGCCAGCTCCTTCATCATGAAGAGGGAATCATCAGCCTTGTCATCCTCATCATCATCGTAACTGGGGGAGGGAGTTCCTTCTGCCCCTTGCCGGGATAATCCTCCTCCTCCCCTGGGGTCGAAGGGATCCACCACGATGGGCTCCGTGCCCTTGATCTCACAGCGGCAGAAAGGACAACCCTGGCCCTCTGATTCCTGCAGGGAAGAGAAGGCATCTCTCACAGCACCATTGGCATGCAGGGATTAAACACGTGGTTAACACACAGTGAGCTTTAAACCTGCTTTTTGGCAGGTACCTTCCAACTGACAGGGAGACAAAGGCAAACTGTGCTACGAACACAGAGTATTTTCTCCCTGAAGCAGAAAAACGGCTTTTTAGCAAGTTCTCACACTTCTTGCCTATTCCAGATTAAGCATCTAAACTGCTTCTGATGCACTGATATTACTGAACTGTCAGCTCCAGTCCTCAGTTCTGCTGTTTTATCTCCATACCTGCAGGAAACCGCCCAGTTTGGAGTGTGAGAGAGCCAGGAGCTTCCCTGAGAGCAGAGGGGATGCCTTACCTGCCACGCCGTGAGGCAGGACGTGCACATCAGGTGGCCACAAGGTTCAATCTTCACGTCCTTGTCGTTCTCAGCACAGATTTTACACAGCTGGAAGGTGGAGCCCATCTCACAGTACAGCTCATATTGTTCCTTAGGGAAAGACAGACAGACACGGGTGATGCCATGAAATAAAAAGGAGAACAGAAATCTGCAAAGATTTTACTGTCATTTTATGTATCAAGCTCTGAAGAAAGTGGACTTCAAATTATCTCAGTTTTTCACTTAAGTGTCCCAAGGAAAGCAAGGCTCAAGACATGCTGAATGGCACAAAAGCATCAATACTTGGCAGAACACTCTAAAAATAAACCCTTTAAATATGTCTTTGCCCATCCCTACCATTCAAAGATTTCTGTAATTCCTGTAAAATACAGAGGCCTTAAAAACAAACTTGGGAATGCCAAGTATGACAGAATTGTGGAAATAGCTAAATGAGGCTAGAAACTGGGAGTTTGATGGGATAGAACATTTTACTCACCTGTGTAACTTTAATGTGGTCCTGAGGTGTGGGCTCACACAAGCCAGTCAAGTCAGGATTCTGATTCCGGCCATCAGGAAATAAATAACTGGAAGTAGTTGGGAAAAAAAAAGCTCTCTCTCTATATGTGCATGTACACACATGCATAAGTACACACACACAGAAATCAGGTACATTTTGGGGATGGTGAAGGAAAGAAAGGATGAAGGTGAGAAGTGAGGGATGGGAATTCAAGGTATTCTGAATTCAGAAGGTTTTGGAAGAATCTGATGATCCAAAAAAACCCAAATATGTTATTCTTAAAAATAAAAAGAAGTTCGTTGTCCCTCCTGGCAGCAATTTTTATTTTAAACAGGATGTTATGGTCCCAGACTATTCTTCTTAAATCATCCTACATAATATATATATAATAATAATTGCAATATCAAGAATAAGAAAACTGATGCCATAATATCAGTGGCTGTTGCTCAAATTAAAGGCTTGACTAATGACAAGGGAAACACTGCTGCACATTTACCACCTGCCACTGCAGAGGGCAGCAAAGACAACTGTGCCAAAATAGCTCAATATACGAATTATTCCACTGGCAGCAATGGGACCACTCCCAGTTGAACTGAGGTGTGAATTTTGACAAAGGTACTTACAAGCCTTCCCTGAAGCCATCGATCAGTGCTTGAAAAAGGGGTTTGTTGTGGGGGATGGTCTGCAGGATGTTCCCATCTGCAGTGACGTAGCCGATGGCCCACTGCCCCAGGCGGGTGCAGCTCAGCCGGAAAATGTAACTGAGGAAAGGGGAAGAAACTTCAGCTTGCAGCAAACAGAAGAGATTCAATGTCAAGCAGGCAGCCTTTGGGCCTGGCTGTCTCCAGACAGCAAATAAAAATCAGGAATAACTTGATGATTTATACCAGCTTTTCTCAGCTGACCCCCAGGCAGATCAAAGGGGAACTTTGCAACGTGATACGAGGCGAGAAAAGCATCCAGGTGACATTAAACCCAGAGCAGGACAAGTTAACATCCTTAAAATCATTTGTTTGACGTTAACTTTAAAAAACCCAACAAACACCAAAACCCACAAGCAGACTAGACAAGGTTTCCATTTCTAAAAGCAGCACAGAAGTGACCATATAACCCCCCAAAACGACCCCGTGGCCCTTCCTGCCCAGCCAGGAGTGTCAGCTCAGCAGGGGCAGTGATCAGTGGTGTCAGTGAGAACCATCCAAAACACTGAGCACGAACCTGCCAGGTTTGTGAATGAATTTCTGCAGCCTGGCCTTCACCTCGTCATAGGTCAGGAATGCCATATAACCAGGGTGAGTCACTGCCAGGCTGTTCCAGTTCCTGAGCAAGGACGACCACGGCTGTGGGAGCAACACAGAAAGAGATTAACCACTCACTCCTGAGAGGTGTCAACACACACAACAGCCCTTCATCAAAGGGGTCAGTGCTTCAGCTGTAGGAATGGGCTTCGTCTTCCACCACAAATCCAACAGAGGAACCAAAACATCCATTCCCATGCAGCACTGAGCGTTTGGGTTCTTCTCTTGTTGGTGATAAAACCATTTCTCTTGTTGGTGATAAAACCATCACCTAAGACAGACCTTGATCAAAACTTCTTTAATAAACGCTAAGGGAGAAGGCCCTGAGGTCCCAGCTCAGGAACAGCTATCAACTGGGCTGCTTCTGCAGAGACAGTGACTCATTCCTGAGACAGGGATAAAGTCAAGGGTTTAATGAGGTGATGCACAGCACCAGAAACCACGGAGTAGTCTGATCTCCAACACTTCCTAAATGGCCTCAGGACAGTGACCTCTCCTCTTTGTCTCAGTTTCACTGTCTGTAACTTGTGACTGTTCCTCAACCACCCAACCTCACCGGGGTGTGGCAAGGATTGCTGGCTAGTCTGAGATCTGAATAAATAAGCCAGCACACACATGTTAAATATCCCTTAAAATAATACCCCAAAAGTCACAATAACAATTTGAAAGCTCTCAATCTTAAGAAGGACTTGGGTGTGTAAATCTCATCCGATTTTTCTGAATTTTTTAACTTGCCCACAAGAAGGTATCAGCACTGCCTAAGAACTTTGCATCTCTTGGAATTTGCAGCAACTCTTGACTTGTTCTCTATGTACAATAGCTGGAAAAAGTACTGAATGAGATCAGCTACATTGCAACACCAAACATGGGAATTTTTCATCTAGACATATCTTAATTACAACCCACCCTATCACATGGGAAAAGGCAAGTCAGAGCCAAAGAAGTAAGTGATTGTTCTTCTAAATACCCAGTTGTACCATCAGAAGCTGCGTTTTTTAATTTAGCACTACTAAAGACTCTGGGTTAGAATTTTACCTCCTATTAATATCACTTCAGTGAGATTTCACCCAGCACAGACGTGGCCACAACATCCTGGCTGTGTCAGTTCAAAAGAGAGGAAGCCCAAATTTCCATGCTAATGCTCCATCCTGAACAACCTCCCCCCCCCCATATGGAAAATAAATCTGACAAGGAAGAGAAAGACAAGGGAAGACAAGAGTGATAAACTAAGCTTCACATTTCCTGGCTTGCAGGAGATGTGTCAGAACTCCAGGCTCAAAGTGACCTTTGAAAGGGAAAACCTGATTCATGGCAGGATACTGAATGTGCAGTATATATTTAGATAATTTTTTTCTTCTACAACCACGAATATCACACACTTTTACTGCAACATGGGATCCTAAGTATTACTAAAGCTGTTTAAGGGATGAAGGGCAAGACAACCAAATCCCATGCAGTATAAACAATGTCATTTTAGTGCATAAAACAGGCTGGAAAAAAAAAAAAGAGTTTAACCTGAAGCAGTGAGACAGTTCTTACCTGAAAAAGTCGTGTGAAGATATCAAATTCAAACACTGAAATGTAGTCATTGCAGGTCAGGTCAATGGTTGACTTGAGGGCCATGGCTTCCAGCCCTGAGCTGATGGGATGCACCTCGTGCAAGGCCTGGCGGAAGCTTTTCCAGGGAACGATGGTCCTGGGGAAAACCAACATTGGGATATGTCTGAAAACCACCCCCATGGACACACCTAGACATTCTTTTGGTGAGTATCCAGCTCAGGAGGTTTATTTATTCATGTCACACAAGCACAGATTTCTTGGTGCTGCAGGAAATCAGCAGCCAAAGGAACTTCAGGCAATTTTCGCTGCACGTGCAAAATTTTGGAGTCAGAAGTCCAGCCCTGCTTCCTCCTTTCCCTTTTCCCACCACAGCATCACTTGATGATAATTTCACAGTGCTGCAGCTGGTACAGAAGGAGTTAACAGTAGGCCTTATAGCAGAGGTCTAGATGGTTTAAAAAAAAAAAGAAAAAAAGCTCCAAACAATTCTCTAAAGAAGGATTAACTGGAGAAGTGAGATAATCAGAAGCCAAAGCAGAGGCTTCTGTTTAAAGGAATATTTTCCTTCTTTTAATATATCAAGTGGAATAGAAACATAGAAAGAAGATGCCTCACTTCAGACAACTCTGTTATTCATGAGTAAATACATTATGGCTTTTTGTTCTGACAGCTACTAATTAAACTCTTTAGGTGAAGTACCTCAGTTCCCTTAGTTTGAAAGCAGTACCAAATCTATTAATTTTAATCCTCAAATGTTGCTGTGAACACCTCTGTGGTTCATTCAGTCAGTGTTTTATTAGATACAAAAGCTAAAGCTGACATTTCAACAGTTTTCACACAAATCCACATTGCACTTCACCTTCCCCTTCACTCCACCTCAAAGCCATTCTGCAAACAGAAGTTCAGGAAAAAAGGTGACCAAGTGCTTGGAAACACTAATTGGAGGGAGGATGAAAAGGAAGGATAACTAATATTTGGGAGCATGGTAACTTTTGGAAGAAGAAAGCAGATTATTTTGCATAGTTTGTGGAGCTTACTTACAAGTTAAGGAATTAAATCAAGGAGAGGAAGATTTAAGCTGAATAATCAAGGGAAACTGTGACAGTAAGTGGGAAAAGTGGGGAAAGAGTCATCATTTAAAACCAGACAGGACAAAAATCCGGGAAATGTAATGTGGGAACAACCCCTTATCTCACCCCAGAGAGGAACCAAATGACCAGCAGGTCTCTCCCATTGTTCATTTTAACCTGACAAAGCCCTTCCTCAATGTCAAAACAGAATTCAGAAAAGTACATTGTGCTGTGTGCAAATCGTTCCCACATCCATATTTTTAAGCACAGTTAGAAACTTACTTTTCCCCAAAAGCCTTCCTCCAGAATTCTGCAGCATCTGCCTTGGTGATCCGGAACGTGTCTCCCTGGAAGAGGCCACTTGGGAAGATCCCTTTGAGCTCTGCCAGCATGTGGCTGAAGATCAGGGACAGCTTTGTCAGGTTCCGCCTGCAAAGGACCACAAAGCCAAACATTTCTTTCAAAAAGGTGCAGTTTCTCACTCTGAACACAGCAGAAACAGTATTTATTGCGGCTCAAGAATGATCCCAGCATGGAAAATTTCTTACTTGGGACCACCTTCCAAGTGTTCCCCCAGCATTCAGAACATCCAACACATGGGACTTATCAGCAGAGTTTGTAAAGACATTTTCCACAATGCCAAACTCTGCATAATGTCTTTAAGGAGGGCAGGTTATTTCCAAGGCAAAAATCCTCCCGTGGAAATACAGTCACCGAAAATGTGCAGAGCCAGTATTCAGACCTCACCCTGTTGAGTATTGAAGACAAAAACCCATCAGACTCCCTTGCTCTTGGGTTTGAAAATAAAACTACTACTGCCTTGGACCACCACTGTCTTGGGCAAAATAAAACTACCTGCCCAAAATAAAACTACTGCTGTCTTTGCTGCCCAGCAAATTTGGGTACCATCAGCCAAGCCCATGATTTCTGACCCTGAACAAGTGCACGGTTTAAACAAAACACTGAACACTGCAGGAAGCCAAGGAATATTCCCCTGTCCACTTGTTTATCCCTTCTGCCCAAGAGCCTTCTGGCTTAGCTGAGCTTCAGGAAGTGTCTGCACTCAGCACATCAGTTCACCAGAGAAGTTAAGAGCTTCCTGAGGCTTAAGGATGGCTAAACAAAGGATTTCACACACACACACATGGAAGGGCTCTGTTTCCAAAAACATTTCTGACAGCTGAACATTTTGAATTCTCAAGGTTATCGTAATTTTTTACAAATATTCAGCCGTAGCTGTAGGCAAATAACAGGCAAAACACAGGAAGTGAACATAAAGAGCAGCAAATTGCAGAACACTTTATGTCAGTAACAAGCTTTTACAGCAACTGGTTACCGAGCCTGTGCTAAAAGCACAAATATTTACTTTCCTTTATTTTAACAAGTTATATATTTGTAAATTTATACAGACCAAATAAATGCCTGCAATTGGAGTGAACATTTTTACTGGCACAGCGAAGTTTACTGATGATTGTAGTTTATTTTTAGTAACATCAGAACTGTCCTTATCTCCACTGCTTCAACTGAAGTGAGTGTGCTCCCAGAAAAGGGTGATATGTTCAAAGGAGAGCAGAGATTCCCAAATATTTTCAGCCACAGATTTCCATGTTTCTTACAGACTGTGATGGCCTTTTTTTCAAACTTTTAGCTAACAGGGTAATCAACACAAATGCTGTCACCAAGAGCTGCACCAGAGGTGTGCCAAGCACAGTTTGGGAAGCACTAAATCCCGGTGCTGGGAATTCAAACACCTGGTATGACATGCACTGCTGAAAATGGTACCCAGGGACCACAGGCCACATCAGCCAGCTCTTCTCAGAGTGTGCAACCAGCTGAAGGCAACACCTGTGCCAGCTTCAGAGAAGTTTCTGTTCCGTGGGTATGCCCAAAGGCAGAGCACGGCTGAGGTGGGATTTCACAGCCCTCAGGGCTTTCCCACATGCAGGCAAAGCACTCAGATCGTTATTGGCAGAGTTAATGAATCAAGTGAAAGCTTAAAAAGCCAAATGTTTTTCCACTGTGTACAGTAACCAGCTATTTTACTGAGGAGCACCTGCAGTGCCAGCATGGAGGCATTAGTCCTTTGGCACCAAAAGTTAACTGAGAATTGGTTCTGTAACAACCCCAGAGCCTGCTGAGCTGCAGTTAATGCCTGTAAAATCCTGCTGCCTTAACACTGACAAGGTCCCAGAGATTTGGGGAACCAAAACCAGCATGAAGCAAGAGGGTTCCTTCGGTTGCCCCGTGCTGGCTCCCCAGGGCTGTGGGCTGAGCAGGACTGTTCCTCCCTCCTCCCTCCTCTGCTGGGCTTCTGCTACTTCCTTCCTGCTTCGGGACTGGCTTTGCTCCACACATCTCTGTGGAACAGGAGAGGTCGAGCAGACACTTCCATTTGCCCCCCAAGGCCAGCCCCAGCTGGGCTTTCTGCTGCTGTTGCCTCCCCCTGACCCAGAGGGAATTTTTCTTCCCCATCTTCCTGGATTTTTCCACCATACAGCCTCAGTGTTGCAAAACCACTAAGGGCAGAGGATGGTTTAATCAGCGTTGTCTCCCTCATTTCAATTAATTCACATTACAAAGCCCCACAGCACCTAATGTGCTTCGTGACTAAATGGCTTTTCACCTCAAGGCCATGTTAATGTGGCACTGCCATTTCTGCCACTGCCAGCTACCATTTTTTCTCATTTCCTTCCAGTATTTCTCACCCCCTTCACAGCCAAGCAGCTGCCACGGGATAATTTTGTTCCTCCTGATTTAGTCACAATATTGTGCTCACTTGCCATAATTTGACGTGCACATACTGCTGTGCCTGTGAAGTTGGTTCTGCTGGAGGAATGCTACAAACAGGGCTGTGCAGAGGAATTCAGAGCTGGAACACAAGACAACCAACCTCAAAACGCTTCCCTTCTCTGTAATTAAAGTGCTTATTTCTTATTCTTACACACTTACGTTGAGGTGACAGGGTCAGCTCCCACTAGAGGTAAGTGCAAGCTTCAGTATTTATGAAAAAACAAACCACAAACCCCAAAACCACAGTTTTTTTTCCTATAACTACATCTTACAATTTTCTAGTGTGAAGATTTAAGAGCTAGAAAAAAAGTGAGTTCAAAAACCCACCCCAACAGTTCTTAACGACTCTGCAACAAGCAAAATGCACCTTTGGAAACCACAAAGGTGTGGGGTTCTCACATCACACGTGTTTTTCAGATGAACTGTGCACCAGGGCACGAGCAGCTCAACCCCATTTCAGCAGATGGTTTGATGTGCCTGGTTTCAAAAAAAAAAAAAGAATAACTCTGTCTCCTATCACACTCCCACATCAGCAACAAGTTTTCTGCGTGTTCCTCGTGTTCAGACAAACCTCCAGTTAATGCTTATAAGCACCCAGTGGAAACTGAGGTGATCCCAAGATGTCTTTTGTGACTCTGGGGCAGTTTCAGTGTCCTCCACACGCAGTAATCAGATTTAAAAATAGAAACAGCGGAACTATTTTCAACAAAACTTGCAACACAGGAAGTGAATGAAATTCCACTTAACTATTACTGGCTCAACAGAAGGCACTTTGCAGAGCTCTGCTCTGTAACACTCACAGGATTGCCTCAGGACAACTAAGAGAGCAGGCTAACTTTAAATGAATTGCCTGTACTACAGAATTTGAGACCATCAGCTAATTCCTTTCAGTGCCTTGGATATTACAGGACAGAGAGCTTCGGGTATTACAGGGCAGAAATATCACACAAATACACCTTTCCTCACTCCCTTCTGAATCCTGACATTTTTCAGCTAACATAATATATATTTAAACACCTTGAGGTCTGTGAGCAGGGCTTGGCAACGAGTTCAAAGTGTCACAGAAACCACCCCAAAAACTCTGGCACACCCGTATTTTTATGCAAGTGGCTGTGACTGATCTGAAGCAGAAAGGACAAGAGGCCACTGTGCTGACCAGGAGGATCAAACCTACTGACCTTTAAAGGATCTGGACTTGTTATTCTAGGCACAAATATTTTTAACAAGCTACATTTCTTCCAGTGTTAAGAAGCTAAAAAAAAAAAATCCACTTCTGAAATTTAAATATTATAGGAAACTCTTTAAAGAGAAGAATACATTTGCTATGATTAATGGTCTTTAAAAAGTTCAACATAGCGGACTGATAAGATAAAGGATAAACCTCTCAGGTAACAGATTAATTCTTTTATTAATTCTTTTACCAAATTCAAGGGACTACACAGCAAACTTACTGTTCAGGACACTCCTCATTATACTTATATTTGGGCTCTCTGCACTGGGATCAAAATTTATACTTCAGGGGCTATTTGCTATAGTTAAAGAGAAAAACAGAGCACAAAAGCCCTGTTTCCAAATCAAGGAAGACTCCAAATCTCAAACTTAATCTTCAGCCACTTCAAAACTGTGCTGGGTATCAAGGGGGAATGGCCTTAAACTGATGGAGGGCAGGCTCAGATTAGATATTAAGAAGTTGAAATCCAAAAACACAAATCCAAAAGGCATCTCAGCCCTTAACACACAAGCCAAACACCCAAGAGACACGATTCAGTTGCCAAGTAGCAGCAACAGATTTTTGCCAACATCAAAAAAAAAAAAAATCTATCCACATCTCAAATGATAATCACTACAAGCTAACTAATGTGCTTGCAATTCCACCCACAGCAGCAAGTCCACAGAGTTAGTCTTCCATAAAACTCTACAATTTTATAGGCTCTGAGAGCAAAGAAGAATAAAAACCTTACTTCCTTATTATGCAATAATCTGAAAGCTTACATTTGTCCATAAATTGATTTTCAAGACTAGACAGAAAGAAAACTGTAATAAATGCAAGCTTAGATCCAATTATGCTAAGTGTTACTTAAGTTCCAAAACTATCACCTAAACTGCAATTTAAAGCCAAATTAAAAAGAAATAATTCACATTCCTCTCTCCAACAACATTTACATGATAATGAATTTCTTCTTGGGTAATAAGCAGTTAGTTAGTGTTCATATGCTGGAGCCTGGCAAGGAAACCTTTCTTGTGGGCAGCTTTGGAGCCTGTTCTTTTCTTTAAGATGTTCTAATTTAAATGCAGATGTAGACTTCACACTAGTGGGTTTTGTTTAAAAAAAAAGTCTTGCTGTATTAGAAGGAAGTGGCAGAAAGAGGACTCGCACGCACCATTTGAGTCCCACATTTCACACTGTATCTCCTCTTCCCTGGGCAGGAATGTGTGCAAGAGCTCTAAAATATGAGATTAGAGCACCAACCCCCCCTCCCCAAGAGACTTTTTCTGGTTCATGTTTTAGCACAAGTGTTTTCCAACTTTTTCCTCTTTAAATTCCAACCTTTTTTTTTTTTTCCTTTCTTCCCCAAGTCATTCTTCATGCACTTCCTTCCCCTTCAGAGATATGTATGGTCATTTCCAGTAGACATTAAATACTGGTGGCTTTTTCCTGTGCAAATTAGTAAGTCTTTGGAGCTGGAGAAGCAAATTAAATCCTGCTGAGCCAGCATCCCGTAAGGCTGTTGTCAAAAGAACAACAATTAAATATGGAGCAGCTCCCCAAAGCTTTATTTCACCTCCCTGTTCTATGGAAAGGGTTTATGATATTCCCTGACTCCTCTACAGACACGATTGTTTTGTTAACTGGGTTTGTTAACAGTTTGCTTCCCAAAGCTGAACCAGAAAAATAACTTGTGCTATTCCTTAAACACCCAGTTCACATCCTGAGTAATTCTTTCTCCTCAGCCCTCCACCTCCCATAACTGTGTTCTGATATGGAAACATTTGAGTGGTTGGATTTTACATAGAAAATAAACTCTCTGAATTTCCCCCCCCTTAACAGGCTGTTTTAAAATAATTAGTATATTTGATTCTTTAGTGAAAAACAGACTCTTCAGCCTAATTCATCCTTTCCCAGGTCACAGACAATCCCACTGATCAACAAGCTATTTTTCAGCGCTGCCATGCCAGGTATAATCCATTTACACAACTGCAAAACCACTGGTGCAATAAGTAATTTATGTAGTGGGGGAAGCTGACGAATGGCAGCTCCTCTGTGCAAGCAAGAGGGCTGAGAAAAAAAACCTTTCTGCAATGGAAAGGAAAAAAAATAGTCCAAGGCAACCACTGAGCCTCCAAATGAAACCGAAATCGAGAGCTCAGGCATGGTCAGAGCAGTGGTATCAGCATGGGTGGCACTGCCAAGCAATGGAACCATCACACTGCAGGGAAAAAATACATATGTTTAACCAGATTTTTGTTATTACCACTAGTTAAAAAGTAAACTCAAGAAACTCATCATATTTACCGGTTCAGAGAAGTCATTGGAGTATTTACCACTGGATAAAAAAGGAACCACAGCTCTGGAAATATGTATAGCCCCAAGAATTCCTGCTAATTACTGCACTCAGCCAACCAATTATTGGATGACTTGCCTTTACATGGGACAAAATATCCAAAATTATTAACTCTGGAAATGCTATTTGATTCCAAGACCAAAGCCTGCAGGTGTTACTGGCAGCTGTCAAAACTCAGAGGAGTAACACAGTTATCTCCACAAAAATCCACTCACAAGTCACCAAGTCCAATCTGATCTACTTGCTAAAATTCAGTATTTAAACAGTAACTAGGAGCTGCTACTTGTACTTATTAGTCAGGAAGTGCACACACACGGAGCTTTAAAAGCACCCTCAGCAGCATTAATTTTTAAACAGATATGGAAGTGAGCTAAAGCAGAATTTAAACAGCATCTTGAAAGCTCTCCTAATAAAACAAGAGAGTTCTCTTCACAAAAATCGCAGCAGGAGCTCACTCGAGAGAGGAACAACTATGGTTAATTTATATATACACAGAAAAAAAACCCCTCTACATCAAACCCACAGCTCTCCAGAGCCAGAAAAGCCACTGCAGAGCTAAGAAAAGAAAGGAAGGCATTGAGTGTTCCAGCGCTGGTCGGGTGGTGTTACCACAGAGGAGGTGACACGGGACAGCCACGTTCATCTGAACAGCCCAAACCTGGAGGGAGAAACTCCCCCGCTTTTGTGAGCACAGCCAGGGCTCCCAGCAGCCTTTCCAAACCCTGCTCACAGCACTTAGAATCAGAGAATCAGCTGGGCTGGAAGGGACCTCCGAGATCATCAAGTCCAACTCTTGATCCAACCCCGCTGTGGTTCCCAGCCCATGGCACTGATGCCACATCCAGTCTGTCCTTAAACACCTCCAGGGATGGAGAATCCACCACTTCCCTGGGTAGCCCATTCCAATGGCTGAGCACCCTCTCTGCAAAGAAATTCTTTCTAATATCCAACCTAAACCTCCCCTGGCACAGCTTCAGACCCAGCCCTCTTGCCTGGGAAAAGAGACCAACCCCCCCTGGCTCCCCCCTCCTGTCAGGGAGTTGCAGAGAGTGAGGAGGTCTCCCCTGAGCCTCCTCTTCTCCAGGCTGAGCCCCCCCAGCTCCCTCAACCTCTCCTCACAGCACTTGTGCTCCAGTCCCTTCCCCAGCCTTGTTGCTCTTCTCTGGACCTGCTCCAGCCCCTCCATGTCCTTCCTGAGCTGAGGGCCCAGAACTGGACACAGCACTCCAGGGGTGGCCTCACCAGCGCTCAGTCCAGGGGCAGAATCCCTTCCCTGCTCCTGTTGGCCACCCTGTTCCTGAGCCAGGCCAGGATCCATTGGCCTTCTTGGCCACCTGGGCACACTCTGGCTCATGTTCAGCTCCCTGTCAATCCAAACCCCCAGGTCCCTCTCTGCCTGGCTGCTCTCCAGCCCCTCTGTCCCCAGCCTGTAGCACTGCTCTCTTCTGCTCCTCTGCTGCAGCCTGGGAGGAGAACAAACCCCTCCGTGCCTTCTCTTTTCAAACCCCCCTTGAAACGCTCAGGACATGACTTATTTTGTACTTCTGCATTTGAAAGCCCAAGGAACGTCCTTATTATGCTCCTCCACGTGCCCTAAACACAAGCACAACACTGCACCAAACATCTTGCAGCTCTTCACTCAGAAAGCAGCACCAGCACCTCCAAGACCTGGTGAATCTCCCCAGCTCTGCTCCAGTCTGCCTCACAGCACACTGGAGAACCCCTAAAAATGTTTGCTCTTTGTGTATTTACCTCTCAGTTTGGAAATAATAAGACTAGAGGGTTGATGCTCAAGTGATGAAGACAATTCTGGTCCTAAAATCTAAGAGAGGTTTCATTTTTCATTACTGGTCTGTTTGCTGGGAGCAAACACCTGCACAGCTTCCACACTGCTTATGCAAATGTCAAAACAGTGCATTTGCTCTGCATCAAGAGACGTTTGGGGGAGGAAAATAAGAGCACACACAACAGGAGGCAAAATGAATGCTAAGTCTGGAAGGCAGGAAGAAAGAAGCTTCAAGAACAACGGGGAAAAAAGGGTCACAAAAAGTCAAGTCAACGTGATCATTAGATTTTAAAGTCCTCTTCTCAAAACACTGCAGACTAACAGCCATAAACTTGCATGAAATCAAGAGAAAATCCCATTTTTTACATATACAATATATATACACACACACATATATACACACTGACATGAGTCCATTCCCCATGAATACCAGATTCAGGTTATATTTGTTTGCTTTGCAGACTCCTGACAATCCTCCCACACTTGGAATATTTGAATTCATTAATTCTTACAAAAATTAGTGTTTTCTTCCACTCCTAGCAAGGTGAGAAAATTTAAGTTTCTTCACCTCAAATTATTATATACATTTTAAATCTATAAGTGCAGTTATAGAAAAAATGAATGTAACTCAATTTCAGATATAACAAATAGCACTAAAGAGATCAGGTTCCATGAGCTCATCCAACCAGGAAAGTCTGACACTGGAAGTGCAGCATTTAACAAAATCCCCCAAATCCCAAAGGCCCATTCTTTGTGCAAATCTCTTTTGGACTGGTACACAGCTCATATGCACTGACTGCTGTAACCTCCTTGTTTTCCATGACAAATGAAAGAACTGAGAAGGTTCCCATGCTCCTGACCAGGAAAAGGCTCTCTGGCATTACCCATTTAGGACAAAACAGCAACTGCTGCTTCCTGGGCTGACTGGAGGAGCAAAGGAAGATGCAGTGAGAGCAATCAGGATGTGATGCTGTTTTTATGCCTGTGTTTACAAGTCTCACCACAGTTCCTTCCCTGGTAAGCTGTTTACTCATAAATGGGACAATTAGCAATCCCCCAGGGACTCCCATCCCTGCTGTGAGAACACCAGCCCACACTGCAATCCTCTGTCTGACTTCACATCTGTCAATCTGCATTTCCCTCCCTCCCTTTACTCAATTAGTCGGAATACAAACCAACCAGGATGATAAACTCTCTGGAATTGTTTCTCTCTGCTTCTCTTTGGAACTGGAGGTGGGATTTTGGCTTTGGGACTGACACAGCCATCATTTACCCATCAGATGTTCCAGATTTGTGACAGGCAGATCACAATACACACACACAGAGGCAGCAACAACCCAGAAAGAAACTTTTCATTTCTTAATTCATTCTTCCATGCAGTGGGTAACAATTCAAACAGCATTAGCAATGCCTTCTGGAGACACTATCACAGGCTCTGCTTGGAGCTCAACATGACAGAATATGCTACACAGAGTTCAATATTAAACCAGAAACATGTGCCAGCACTTCTCCCCCCTCCAGTAATTCAAGCAAGCAGTTGCCAGGGCGTTAACCACATTCTCCCCAGGGCAATTATGTTCAGCCACTGGGTGGTTTTTACTCTTTTTTTCCACCTTTTTTTTAATTCAGCATCTACTTCTATTCAGCATCTACTTCAAAATCCTAAAATGAGTTTAGAGTTACAAATGTATGCCTTGTATATCTCTGTCTGTCAGACCTGCTGCCAACAGCCACACAAATGTGTAAGGTTAACCTTCTCCAGAGCTTTATCCTAATCTTAAATCATCTCTTCTTTCCGTAATGCTGGATGAAGAAACACTTTTTCTACAGTGCAGTGCTCATTAAATTCAAATGTTTTTGTTCAAGAGAGCCTTATATTCAGATGCAACTGCAGTTTCTACCTCCACCTATCCTTTCCAGTAAGTGCTGCTCACCTTGAAGACATCCCTTGATCTCAGCTCTGCCTTTGTACAAAAGGAAAGACGAGGTGACAAGTGATCTCCCTTAAACATGAAGCATCCAACCTATTTAGTTTCTACAAGGAATTTTTGGAACCATTTCTCTGCATTACCTAGGCTGGGAGTTCTCCTCATACATCCTTTCCTTCCCTTCCTTGAAGAGGCTGATGGTCTGCTTGGTTTTCTTCATCAGGTTCTCCATGAACACCCGGAAATACTCGTTCTCCCCCAGGGTCTCCATCTTGCCCTCGTAGCGGGACAGGATGGTCCTCAGGTGCTGGTAGGTGTCAGGCAGCAGGTCCAGGATGTAGGGTGGGCTGTTCTTCAGGGCCAGCTTGGGGTTCTGACACAAACGCACCACCTGCGCTCAGGGGAGAAAACACCCTTTTGAAATCAAGTGACCAGGAGCTTAAACACAAGTCAGCATCAAAAGTCTGAAATGTTCGCCCTCAAACCGCGTTTCTTGGTCAAGTCCAGACAGAATCACGGAATCATTTGGGTTGGAAAAGATCTCCAAGACCACCCAGGCCAACTTGTGACCCATCAGCCCCTTGTCCCCCAGCCCAGAGCACTGAGTGCCACGTCCAGTCCTTCCTTGGACACCTCCAGGGATGGGGACTCCACCACCTCCCTGGGCAGCCCCTGCCAATGTTTGACAACTCCTTCCTTGAAGAAATTCCTCCTGATGTCCAACCTGACCCTCCCTTGGCACAAATTGAGCCCGTTTCCTCTCATCCTGTCCCTTGTTCTCTGGGAGCAGAGCCCAGTTTCCCCCTGGCTACAACCTCCTTTCAGGTAGTTTTAGAGGGTGATAAAGTCTCCCCTGAACCCCCTTTTCTCCAGGCTATTTTCTCCAGACAGTCAGCCCAGCCACCATAAAAGACTCCAATTTCTGGACTGAAGAGCCTCTGGACTGATGAAACTCATGACAATAAATTTCTGTGGCAGGGGAGGATAAAGGAAGCCACTTCACCCCCGTCACAGCCCAAATTTTCCATTGCCTAAACTGAGAGAATAATAGGGAGAGCTGATGGCAAAGCAGCAAACTGAAAAATTAAGCAGTGCACTTTCAGTTATAAAAAGGGTTGAAATTAGAGATGTGAGGTCAGTTTTAGATCAAGCTTATAAGAACCAGCAGCTGGGATAGTTTTAGTGGCTAACAATTCTATGTTCTGTGATTTACAGTAAACTTGGGAGGAAGCACAGCACAAAATGTAGTTACAGTTTCCTATTCTTTGCTATAATGAATGTTAAACAGGTCTAAACTCAGGACACTGCCAGGTATGAGGGAACTGCAGGTATCATACAACACAAAACTGAAGTGCAGTGGATAGGAAAAGGCAAAAGAAGAATTTAACATCCTTTTGCAGCACATCATTTCCACAAAACCTTGTGAAACCTTCAAGAGGAATTGAGCAGTTCCCTACAGCGGATATTTAAATACCTACTTCACTTAAACACTGATGGTAAACAGAGTCAGTTCTTCTGAAAGCAGCGTTTCTGCATTTAACTGTGTGTGCAAAAAGCAACCTGGTGAAGTGACATCTCCAATTCTACCTGACTTGCAGCAGTGCCCCTAACAAGAGCTGACTGAGAAAGGTTCCATTTCAGCCCAGAGAAAGGCACACAGTGTACCAAAAGCTCCAACAGGAAAAAAAAAATCAAACTGCCATTGAAAAAAATCACATGCCTAAAAAAGCCTCTGCAAGAATACATGGGGGAAAAAACAAACCACCAAACTTTCCCCTCCATTTTGCAGAGGCTGCCAAGGATTAGGAGGTCTAGATAAGGAGATGGATGGCCAGACAGCTGACTGAGTCAATTGATGCTGATGCCTCAACTGCTGCTTCCTTGGAGCCTGTGAACATTGTACAATGAACCATATCAACAAATTGAGTCAACACATTTGTCCCCTGGAAAAAAAAAAAAAGTAGTTTCACTCTGCAGCATGAATAGGTTCTAAATATGCTCCTCAGACACAGCTGAGTTGTGCTCTGGGGTAGCAAAACCTTTTTCTTCAGCAGAAATTGTTTATTCCACAGTGGGTTTAAAACCTTAACAAACACAGTCAGCTCTTAGGAGGAAGCCACATTAAGCAAGCAAACAAGTCAGAGTATGCACTTCCCTCAGCCATCTGAGAGAGCAATTTGGCTGCTACCCTTTGAAAATACCCAGCCCTGGAAGCAGCAAACCCGCTGTACTTCAGTCATGTAACGGGCTTTGATACCAATCAGAACAGTTTCCCCACAGCAGAAGCAAGTTCTGCAAACTGCTCCTTCTCAGAGCCCCCAGCAAACACTTCCCGAGACGTGACTCGCAAAGATCCCTCCAACAGTTACCAGAAAGGTCGAAACTGCTGCTATTTTATTATCAAATCAGCTTCTTTATTTACCAAGCAGAGCAGAATTAGCTAAGATAAGCAGCTGAACAACGCTGCACGACTGGGAACTGCTGCCTCTTGAGCAAACTTGGTGGTTTTATAACACAACAGCACCAAAAGCAGTCGCGTTTGGCTTCTTTCTCTACGTGTGCACTTGCAGCATCGTGACAGAGCCCAAAGGAATGTTCCCAGCCCTGGGAACAGCTGCCCCTCAGCAGCCACCCAGCTTTCCACAGGGACCAGCAACGTGGAAGGAAATGGAGCAAAAAGCAGCAAATATTTTCTACTAGGTGTGATGGCAGCAAAGAGAAGCAATCCCTGCTTTTAAATTATCAGCCCAACGCATCCAAGTTTGCCTGGCTTATGCTTTGTTCTCTCAGGAACAAGCCTTTTGGGGTTTTTAGACGTGCCAATAAAGCAGTGCAAGCTTAGCATTAACATTCTAAGAGGTGTAGCCTTTTCAAACCCTAAAATTGAAATTATCTGCTCAATTTTCCAAACTCGAGAGCAGAAAATAATAAAAAAAAAAAAACAAAACAGTTTCCCCAACTCAGTTTTGAAGAAAGAATCTTCAAAACAGGAGGAAAAACAATCTCATCTAGGTCTTGGAGGCCTGGAATTGAATGTTTCCCTTCAAGAACCTGCAGCTTGCCTTGACTGATTCCTGGAATTGAGTCCCAGGCCTGACAAGCATCCAGGTGCTGCTGTCCCAGGTAAGATTTTCCCTTCCAGGCAGCTCTGAAAATTCGTTTTTCCCTTCTTTTAACAGCTGAATGACTGACTTTACTGAAATCACACCTCATTCCAGCTTAAGCCAACAGCAAAACAAAACCTACTCAAACATCTCTTATCTCCTGCTGAACTTGTGTCTGGCCTCTCTTCCACTTCCAGTGAAGGTGACCTGCAGTGGCACTTCTCTATAGCAGTTCTAGGAACTGAATGGCATCAGAAAGCTGTTTAGAGAAGCTTTATCTCAGAGTTCCTCTTCCTCCTCCGTGTATTCTGTCATTCCTCTGCTCCCTCCCTTCCACCTCATGACTAACCCACCTATTCCTCAAATTCCACCCACAGCAACCAACTCCAGTGGGCTGCACTTAATCACTGCTCTGCAGAGAAGTGCATAAATACCACCTCATTGAGCTGAAGGTGAACATCCACAGGGATGGAAAGGGCTATTTTATGTCCACGGGGCCACGTGGAGCTGTGGGAGGAATGGTTAATGCTGAGAAAAAAAGTCAGGACTTCAAATGAAAGAATCTGAAAGACATAAAATACGTCAGGCAGCTTATGGAGAACATTACAGGGGAAATATTTGGACAAGAATCAACTTGCATAGGAAATTCATCAGTCACATCCCAGAGCAGAGATGCACAAATGCTTTGACAACCCCAGCTAATTATGCAGGCTGACAAACGAGGCCGTGAGTGCAGTGTACACACACAGACACAGCACGCAGCTCTGCAAGGCACAAACATCATCTATTAAACATGCACACCAGGGGGGTTTTATATCTGCACCTGTAATTCCAGAAACCTAACCCATTTGCAACACCTTCCATTCACTTAGCCCTTCTCACCACGAGCTTTACTGGTAATTTGCTACCCCACTAAAAAGAGTTTGAATTCAGAGGTGTTCTCCTGAGCGTGCCTAAGTACAGCTGGGGTCTAACTGAAATCTGAAAGGCTTTTCACAGCCAAATCTTTCCTCCTGTACAAATCACACTGAACAACTAACTCTTTAAGACTTTAAGCCTCCATCTAAGGGCTTTTGGAGGCTGCCTACGAGTAAAACTGGAGTCAGGTCACGTTTAAAAGAGGTTGGTTTAACTTGTGACAAATACAGCAGCAGCCTTTTCTGTCAGTGGAGAGGGGACAACAACAACAAAGCTCTGAAGCCGTGAAATATCCCCCCAAAATCCCACTGCCTTTCAAAATGCCAAGGCAATCAGCTGTTTTTTTTTCAGGCCCACCTTTTCCTCTGAACAGGTTATGAGGTCAAAGACAGGCTGACATTCATACCCATATATTCTGTATATGAAGATGTGCATTCTCACAAGTTGCATGTGCAAGTTAAACCTATTCAGGACCCTGTTTCCACGCTCAAACTCCCTTTCCCACATTAGCACTTGTGCTTGCCCTCAATGGCACTTTCTCAAAAGGCTTTTTTCCTCATCCCAGTCTCGCTGTAGGTGATCAAAGCTCATCACAGGCACAGCAAGGCACAACCATAAACCCTGTCTTTTGTGGAGTCAGCCAACACAAAGTGATCTCTTGGCATGAATATAATTTCATACAGCCTTTAAAGAAGTCATTTGCTCTGCCTGCTTTTAGCACTTACTGCAGGAGGCTCAGACACTGCATGGATAAACAATGCAGGGAGAAGAGAGGGAAAGGAGGAAATGCATAAGCCTGCAGGGCAACTGGATGAGGGATCCCATCAGCCCTGCCTGCTGGGAAGAAGGTGGCCAGGTGACACTCCTCAAGGACTGTGGGTGAGCCTTACTCTGAACCCAGTGCCATAAAACACACTGCAACGTGTCAAGCCCAGCCTTGATCTCAGGGCTGCACAGCAACATCAGAGGATCAGCCAAAATCCTGCAAAAAATGTCACATTTTTGTTTCATGCCCACTTCTGTGCACCCACACTCACTCACTGGGCCATTCCCTGAGATCTCCCCAGGGTTTCCTAAAACACTGGATTTACCAGCACACCTAGCCAGGCCAGGGAACCAAATGCCACATCCCCTCACACCACCAGGCCAAAAGGTCTGGTGTCCTGCCCCCGGCAACAGCCACTTCCTGGCGTTTTAAAAGGAGGAGGAGGAGGAGGAGGGGAGAGGCTTAATGACCCCAGAGAGCTGTGCCCCTCCTAAAGGTGTGGGACTGGAAAGAAAGGCCTTTCCCATTCCCACACCACAAGTTGTTCGTTGTTTATATTACATTTCATGCTCCTTTTGTCTGTGTAACTATGTGTATTTATTGTAGAGGGTTTATTTCATGTTTTACTTCCCAGATTTAAGGGAAAGGTTTCGCCCTGAGCTCAGCAACGTGTCCCTGTCCATTCGGAAAAGAACAGCCTGACCTGCCCCAAAGCAGGTGCTCAGCTCCACCACCCAGGCTCTGTCACAGGCCCAGGCTCACCTTCCAACCAGCAAATCCCGGGATTTCTCCCTTGTGCAGTTACACACAGGCAGGACCTGCTGCTGACACCACCTGCAGCTCCCCACCAGGTCCCACCCATTCCCAGCACCACCAGCGCCCAGCCCAGCACCTACAGGATTATCATGGGATACCCTGAGGTGGAAAAGACCCATGAGGAGCACCCAGTCCAACCCCTGGCCCTGCACAGGACACCCCAACAATCCCACCCTGTGCCTGAGATCGCTGTCCAAACGCTCCTGGAGCTCTGGCAGCCCCGGGGAAGCACAAACCCCGGACCCCCTTGAGCAGGTCTGCATCCCCCAACCCAAATCACCCTCTCTTCCTCTAACCTGTTCCCCCCACAGCCCACCCTTGCAGAGTTGCTGATCTCCTTCCCACCTTGGCATCCCACTCCCATCCTGCCTCTGGGATGTCCTCCACTCCTCACCTCTCCATCAGCTCCCACGTGGAATCATGGAATGGTTTGGCTTGGAAGGGACCCTAAAGCTCATCTCTACCCGCTGCCATGGGCAGAGGCACCTTCCACTAGACCAGGTTGCTCCAAACCAAGTCCAGCCTGGTTTTAAACACTTCCAGGGATGGGGCAGCCACAACTTCTCTGGGAAAGCCATTCCAGGGCCTCTCCACCCTCGCAGTGAGGAATTTCTTCCCAATACCCCGTTTAACCCTCCTCTCTGTCAGTGTGAACCACTCCCTGTGTCCTGTCACCCCATGCTCCCTACATCCTTCCCCCCCAAAGCGCTGCACCCCACTCTGTGCCCGCACACCTCTGACCCCCCAGATCTCTCCTCCCAGCCCCAAACCCCTCTCTCCCCGAACTCCAGGCTCATCCCAGACCCCCGAGCCCCAGCTTTACCCCACGCCACCTCACCCCCCTCCCACCTTATCCATGAGCTTCCAGCACTTCTCCACCATCTTCTTGTCCACGGCGCCGGGCTGGTGCGGCCCGAGGTGGTGGTGGTGCGGCTGGAACGCGTCCTTCATCAGCCCGATCAGCCCGCCGGGGCCTTTCTTCAGCGGCGCCGACATGGGGGACACCCGCACCCGGCCCCCCGTGCCGGGGGGGCCCGTCCGGCACGGCGGCCGCGGCCCTGCAGGGGCCGGTGCGGAGGGCGCTGGGGCCGGGCCGGGCCGGGCAGGGCGGCGGCGGCGGCCGTGGGCGGTGGCGGCGCCCGGTTCCCGCCGAGGCCCCGCCCTCCTCCCCGCCGCCGATTGGCCGATCTCCCCCCCGCGCGCCCGGGAACGCCCCCCGGGCTGGGGAGGAGCGGGCGGTGATTGGTTGGGAAAAAGGGAGCATGCGCGATGCGGCGGGCTGAGGGCGGCGCGGCCGCCATGGTTGGTGAGGGCGGGGCGGGGCGGGGCGCGGTCGCCATGGCAACGCGGGGGCCGCGCCGGTCCCGCTGCCCCCCCCCGGGATGGAGCTTTCGCATCCCTTCCCTTCCCGGTTGCGAAACAGGGGCGCTTCCCCTTTCTCCAGAGGCCGCCTTCCCTTTTCTAAGAACGCGCCCGGACGCGGGGAAGAGGGATGTGCCCGGGGGGGGGCGGGAGCGAGACCAGCCGCGGGGAGCTGAACCGGCATCCCCATGGGATGGGATGGGATGGGAACAGGGGCAGAGGAAAGCAGAGCCCACCAGGGGCTGCATCGCTGTCACCGGCATCCCCATGGGATGGGACGGGACGGGATGGGATGGGACGGGAACAGGGGCAGGGGAAGGCAGAGCCCACACGGGGATGCGTCCCTGACATCAGCATCCCACGGGAGCAGGAGCAGGGCACTGAGAGCAACAAGAGGAACAGGGAGAGAAAAGAGGACCAGGGAGAGAAAAGGGATGAGTGAGAGAAAAGGGGACCAGGGAGAGAAAAGGGATTCAGGGACAGAAGAGGGGACCAGGGAGTGAAAAGGGGAGCTGGAAGTGGGTTTGTCAGAGCTCTCAACACCAAACTCCCAAAAAATTACAACACAGGCTCGAAAGTTGGTTCAGTTCTGTTTCTTTGCTGCCTTCAGATCCTCTTTTCATCTCCTCTTCCAGGCACAAGGGCTCATCCTCTGTGAAAAACCTGCTGCGGTTGGTGCCGTGCAGCCTCAGCCTCACCACAGGGGCTGAGAGAGGGGAAGGGGCCAAGGGAAACAGCAAGTGCTGCAGTTTGGGGAGCACAGGCACCCTGAACTCAGGCCTGGAGCTTGGGCATACAACAAGGGAGCCTGGCATGGATCGGTTATAAAACCCTCTGTCTTTTATTTCATTGCCTTTGGTAAAGCTCGGTAAAATATTTCTGGGACAGGCAACTCCTTGTCTGGCTTTAATTACCTGGGCAAATTTTCCTAAGGATTATATTGACCTCAAATATGTCAACGTTTGTTGAGGCTGTGTTCCTGAGGCTTTTCCCATTAGGTGCTAATGGATTCTGGCTAATAGTCAAGCCGGATTGACCACCAGCGGGTGCCCTGGCCAGCTCCAGGATACCACAAGTACCTGGGGAAGAGAGCTGGGGAGGGCAACACCAGCTTTGTTAGAGCCAAATTACAAAAATCACCATGGCTCCGAGCCAAAGAGATCAGGGAACATGCTTGAGCAATTGCATTCCTGACTATCTCCTTCTCTGGGCATGATTCACTTCCAAGTCAGGGCCGTGAGACTTCAAGCAAAGGTTGCTTTTGCTTGAGATTATTCTCCTGTTGGGAGGGTGCAGCTGGGCAGATGCAGGGACCCCACACCTTGGTGCTGCTGGGGGCAGCCAGCCAAGTTCATCCCACCTCTCCCTTGGGTGTTCTGGACCCTGCCCTGCTCCCTCCCGTGCTCTCAGCACCCCAAAGGCTCTGGACACGGACTCCTTGCACCCCAGAGGCCTGCACTGAGCTCAGAGGACACCGTAGAGGCACAGAGACTTCTCTGCTATCGCTTCCATTTCCTCTCAGCTCGAGCAGGGCCCAGTTTTTAGCAGAGGTAAAACCTCAGCCAGAGGTTTGCGGTCTTGGCCACATGCAAAACTCCCTGCTGGTTTTCACTCTCCCACGCTCGGCAGAGAGGTGAAACTTCCCCCCTCCCCGGATCCCTACTTAACAGAGAGGTGAAACTTCCTCCTCCTGGGATTCCCCCCCTTGACAGAGGTAAAACTTCCCCCTCCTGGGATCCCTCCTGCCCCAGCACTGTGTGCATGAATGGATGTTCCTGATGTGTCACCTGCAAAGGGAACCCTCAGGAAGGACCACTGCTATGGAGCACAAAGCGTGCCCACAGGAGTTTGGCCCCAAAACCCTGGAGATGCAGTGCCCTGGGGCTCCCAGGGTGGCTCTTAGCCCTTACCTCCCTGTCGGGACAGCTGGAGAGCTTCCCACATCTGCTGCCCATCCCCTCGGTTGCTTCAGTGAGAGAAGACAGGTCCTGTCAAATCACAGTGCTCTCCATACCATTACCCAGTGTGGATTTGTCCTTTAATCACACCCCAACCAGGGGATGCAGGAGCAGTGCAGGAACGGTGCTGTGCTGGGTGCTGGGCACTCACTGCCCGCAGGTTCACAGGGAGGGTGAGAGGAGCACAAGAAATGTCCATGCACGGGCAGATCGGAGAGTTGGGGGGTTCCTCCAGCACCCCGTTGGCCTCCACTGCTCCTTTCCCTCTTCACATGGCAGCCTAAAGGTCAGCCCTGAGCCAAGCCTCGAGGGCCCCACTCCCCTGGGCCATGGATGGAGGGCAGTGCCTCGGCTCTCCTGAGAACTCCCAGAGCCTGGAGCTGGGCAAGGGCTTCGGGGCAGTGTCCTGAGAAATCCCTGGAGGCAGCTGTGCTGGCAAAGACACAGGTCTGTCTTCAGGCTACAAGGAGCTGCCACCACGGTCAGTAAAAGCTGGGAGCCACGTCCATCATCTCTGGGAGGTGGGATGCCGTGAGCCCCGTCACGGAGACACAGGAGCTGCGTGTGCAAGGTCCATGCTGTGTTCTGAGGGGCTGGACATGGCCTGGGTGGAGGTGCTGTGTGGGAGAGCCTGTCCAGAGGCTCCTGGGCCACTAAAACGACTGGCACAGCCTCTTCTGCTCCTGCTGGCGCGAGCTCTGCAGGGACACAGCGAGGGCATTGTAGCAGCACACACATATACACACCCCACCACACCCACCCCTCACCCCATGGGCAAGCTGGAGGCGTCTTTCTGCCTGGCCCCTGTGGCCAGGGGACCACGCAGCCCCCTCCTGCCAGCACCACAGGTGCCAAGGAAATATTAGGATGGGCAGAGCAGGAGGGTGGCAGGGCTCAGAGCACTGCCCGGCTGTGAGCAGCACCTCCCGGTGAGAGGAATTACCTGTACGAGCTCTATGCTGTTGGCAGCAGCCATCAGCCAGGAGGCAGGTCCCTTTGGTGCCACCTCAACGTGACAGGGTCCAGGGGAGCCACTGAGAGAGGGTGTGCAGGAGCCTGAGGCAGGGTCACTGTCCTCGAAGAACTGCAGAGGGGACAGCCCGATCTGGAAGAGCAGAACAGGGATGGACGTACAGCTCCTGGGGCTGCACAGCCAGAGGACCTCACCCACAGCACCCCAGGGCTCCCCAGCCAGGGCGGGACCACGCTGGGTCCCCAAAACCTACCGAGTGGTAGAACTCATCACCAGCAGGGTCGATGACCAGCAGTGTCACCCACTCCTCGTGGGCACGGATCCTGTGCACTGTCTGCTCGTGGTCCAGCCCCTCGATGCTCTCGCCATTCACTGCCAGGACACGGTCCCCGTCCTTCATCCCTGCCTGCTCGGCTGGCAGCCCCTCATCCACCTCCCACAGGAACTGGCCTGGCACAGTGAGGGCACAGGGAGGGTGGGGAGATGCTGCCAGACGGGAACTGGCACTGCTGGCCCCCGTGTGCAGGTGGGCACAGGGCTGGCAGCTCTTCCCAACCCTCAGGCACGCCTTGCCCAGGTACAGATTACCCCCTCAGCCCCCTCACCTATGCCCCCCGAGATGCAGTCGTCCTCCTTGAGCAGAAACCCGTAGCCAACTGGACCCTTTACCAAGTGCAGCTCCCGGGCCTTGAAGGGGAGCCAGGCGGGGTCTGCCAGGGCGGCCGTGACCCGCAGGCCCCGCAGGCGGTAGAACTCCTCCACGGCACTGGATGCCACCAGCAGTGTCACCTTGTTGCCGCTCTGCTTAAGCTGGGTGGGAGGCACAGGGCGCTCGGTGACGCTCTCAGTGATGCTCCCAGCCCCATCATCCCTCACCCACCCACGCGGGGAACAGGCACCTTTCTGGTGAGCTGGGTGTGTGAGTAGCTCTTCACGCTGTCCCCGTTGAGCTCCAGGAGCCAGGAGCCTGCTGGCACCCCTGCCCTGTCCGCTGGCCCATCCTGCCTCACTGACAGCTGGAAGGTGCCCTTGGTGCCTGCAGGGAGGAGATCTGGGGTTATTCACCAGCCCGTGGACGCAGGAGCTCAGGGAATGCCCAGGCACGTGGTGGGGCAGCAGTGACAGTGTCACACAGGGACAGAGGCTGCATCCTGGGGCGCTACATCGGGGAGGCTCCCAGTGCCAGCACCCACTGCCCATTTTACCTTCTGGCCCCGACACTGTGAAGCCAAACCCACTCTTGTCCCTGGTGACGTGGCAGAGGCGCGGGTGGATGTCAGCGGGCAGCATCTGGGACAGGTCCCTGCCCAGGGATTTGGCAGCTTCGTAGGAATCACCATCCAGCACCGCCAGCAGGACCTGGTTCCCACTGGCCTTGATCCTCTGCACCACCTGGAAGCACCCAGGCTGTGAACCCCGGGCAGGCACCCCTGGCATGGGGTGGGATCAGGGTCATGCCACTGGCCCTGGGGTGCTCCCAGCTTACCCTGGGGTGCTCCCAGCTTACCCTCATGTGGTCCAGGTGGTCCACGAAGTGGCCGTTGACCTGGAGGAGCCTGTCCCCGTCCTGCAGCCCCCTGCGCTGGGCCACCCCCCCCAGCTCAATCTGCCGGATGATGTGGCCCTGGCAGCTCAGCTCCTCGTGCAGGCAGAACCCGAAGGTCTCCGTGCTGTCCTTGCTCAGGAAGTAGAAGCGGGGCTCCCCCACACCCTCAGCATCTGTGGTGGGGCACAGCCCATGAGCAGGGGATCCTAACATGAGTCCTCTACCCCATACTGGGCTGGGGGCTCCTTATAAGTTCACCTCCCACAGCTGCCCAGTGTGAGAGGGTGCTCAGGACCTGAGCAATGCCCTGGTGCCACAGACACAGGGACACCCTGGGAGATGAGGGTGTTTATTTACCCGTGTCCTCAGCCAGTGTCAAGGCAGGGTTGTCGATCCCATCTTTGGGGTTAAATTCAAATTTTCTGAAATGATAAAGGGGCAGGAGAGGCCATGGTTAGTGCAGCATTGTGGCCTCCCCCTGCCTTCCCCAGCCTTGGGGAGCCTGTTCCTCCCAAGAAAGGGCCAGCTGAGCCACAGCTCCTCTTCCCTGGGGAAAGCCAGGAGGGGATCTCCCTCTTGGATCACCCTCCACACCTCTCCCGAGCTAACAAACCAGGGAAGAGCTTCCTGGGGCAGGGCAGCCATGACCCACCCCACCTCAGCTGAGATGTGGCCCAGCACAGCCCAGCTGTGGGGCCAGAAGGCCCCAGAAAGCCCCCTGGCCAAGGGGAGCTCAGGACTTACATGATGGATGTCTTGTCCCCGAGCCCTGCAGAGGGAGAGGAGAGGTCAGCGCAGGAGGTGGTGGGCTGGGAGCAGACCCCATGCTCTGGGACACTCAGGCTTGTCCATTCCCAGGCTGAGCCTGCCATGCCAGGTGAGGGGGTTTGCCAAGCTCACACGGCCCCCCCAAGCCCCTCTGTTCCCTGGCACAGCTCGTCCCTTGCCCCCACCACCACTGTCCTCTTGCATTCCCAGATCCAAGGGGCTGTCACTGCCCAGCCCAGCAGGATCCTGGGGGGCAAAGCAGGGCCACACAGAAGGAGCTCAGTCCTGAGGGTTTACAGGGCTGGGTGAGGATGAGAAGGGTCACCAGGAGATGGAGACAGAGGCCTTCCCTGGCACACCTCCCCATAGAAGCCCTCCCCACCTCCTCCAGCACAAGGAACCCCAAAACCAGAGAGAGGGGATTCCTCTCCAGCATCCTCACAGTGTCCATCTGCATTTTCCTGCATGCCTCCAGCTCCTTCCCACGGCCCACCCAGGCTCGGACATTGCCTTGCTCCGTGTGGAAGCAGGGCCTGGGGACAGGAGTGTGGGGAAGGGTCTCCCCAGGATGCAGCCCCACTCCCCCAGCACGTACCTTCTGTTTGCTTCATGGCTGCAGGGAATGCAGGAGGGAGCAAGGTACAGGGTGAAGTGGCAGGGACGCGTCCCCGCCTCTCCCAAGACGCCCCAGGTTTAATGGTTAAACAGCCCCGACGTCTCCCCTGCCCTCCCAACCCCAGGGCACTGCCAGCCTGGGCTGGGAGCAGGGACCAGCCCCCTGGGACACCCAGCTCCTGATGTTCTGGCTTCCAGGGGAACGCACAGCGGGAAGGACCAACTGATTTGGCACAAGGAGTGGGCTGCTCTGTGCCAATCCCGGGAGAGGGAGAAGGGGCAGAGCCCTCCACTCCACCTGCTGGAGGGGCAGCTGCACCAGCAGCTCCCACATTCCTCCCCAGGAACAGCCTGAAGAGGAGATCGAGTCTTGGAAACAAAGTGGTGCACTTTAATGCTCCCAAAGGATTCACAGACAAGCCTGAGCCCCACCCTCTGGCACTGCTGCGGCCGGGGTGCAGGGGCTGGGGCTCCACGAACCCAGGAGAAAAAGTCCCGTTTGCTCCTGGCTGGTCTCTGTACCATTCCCACACTGCAGCCTGGAGGGCTGAGCCCCACATACCCAGCATCTTGGACAGCACCCATCCACTGAGGATCTCCATGTGGATCAGGGCACAGGGGGCTGGGGCACACACTCCACCGCTCCCTGCCTGGCCGGGGGACGGGGCAGCGGCTCAGAGGGTCCCGTCCTGCAGCTTCCCCAGCATCTTCTTGACCTCGCTCTCCACCCGCAGGAACTTGGCTTTCCTCCAGGGGTTGGCGGTCTGGCTGCGGCTGCTCTCCAGGTCCTGCAGGAGGAGGGCGAGGTGCTGCCGCACCCGCTCCCGGTCCCAGAAGGGCAGGTTCCTCTGCACCACGCTCAGGATGTGGGACCAGTAGTCGGAGACGTCGGTGCCCGCCGTGAGGAACACCAGAGCCCTGACGCCGTCCCGGTCCATGCGCAGGCTGTGCAGCGCCCGCTTGCCGTCCTCGCTGATGTCGTTGAAGTACAGGCTGGGAGAGGGACACACCGTGAGGGTCGGGGGGGAGCACAGAGGCAGGACAGGGCACAGAGGGAGCACAGAGGCAGAAGGGAAGAGACGCGGCGGAGCGAACTCACTGCACTTTGTCCAGCGCCTCGTGCTTTTTGGCCACCTCCACCACGCGCAGGGCGCCCGCGTCCGTCAGGGAGTTGTATCCCAGGTTGAGCTCCCTCAGGTGCCGGTTCTGGGCCAGGTGGTGGGCGATGGCCTCGGCGCCGCCGTCGCCCAGCGCCGTGTGCAGCAGGGACAGCCGGGTCAGCGAGCGGTTCCCCGCCAGCCCCTCGGCCAGGAGCTGAGCCCCCTGCTCGCCCACGGGGTTGTTGGCCAGCCTGTGGACATGGGGGGGAGCGGGGAATGGCTCGTGGTGGGCGGCAGGGACAGTGCCATGCAGGGACACGGGGGCAGTACTCACCGCAGGCTGCTCACCACGCACTTGTCGTGCAGGAGCAGGTCACGGATCTCCTGGCAGGCGTCGGGGCCCAGGCTGTTGAGCTGCAGGCTGGGGCAGAGCAAGACACAGGGGTGGCAGGACCGAAATGGCTGTTGCCCGTGGACCTGGCAGCCCTGCCCTCTCCATCTCCCCCAGCCCTCCCCATCACTGCCCTACTTGGGCTCCCCAAACCAGGCCACGCAAGGTTTCCTCTCCCAAAGGGAGCACACTGATCCCGCTCCGGAGCATCGGCCAGCAGAGCCAGAGCCAGCAGGAGCAGGGGAGGGGACGGGGGTGTGGGGTCTTCAGGGTGGGTGAAGGTCTGAGGAGGGATCAGGACTCCTCCAAGCCCTCCTGAGCATCTGGAGGAAGGAAGTGCGGCACAGCCCAGCTGCAGAGCCCCGTCCAACTCTGCTGAGCACGTCTCGCCACCACCTGGGCGGCAGGAAGACCTGCAGCTCCACAAACGTTCTGGAACAACTGTGGAAACACCTGCACGGCTCACACTCCCGCCTTTGGGATGCCCAGCTCCTCCCAGAGACAGCGACACGGGGATGACGGATGGCTCCAGGGAAGGACTCGGGTCTGCCAGGGCAGCTGGCAGCACAGCCTGTACCAGCTGCTGGGAGCTGCCCAAACATTCCTGCGGGAGGGTGTGCTGGGACTGCAAATCCCAGCATGCCGTGCCCTAGCAAGGCTGCTCAGGGAGCGCAGCATGTTGGAAGCTGTAGTTCCCTAGGTCTGCACTGAAGATAAACAAGGGCAGGCACGCCCTGCCCTACTTTTTCCATGCCTGGGCTCCCAGTGCATCCCTGTGATGGGCAGAGCTGAGGGAGAGCCCAGCCTCTGGGCGCTGCCCAAGGGCAGGAGAAGGTGGTACTCACTGGAGAGCTTTGCATCGCAGCAGGACAGGGAAGAGGGTCCTCAAGCTGCTGCTGTCGAGGTTGCAGGAGGTCAGGTTGAGCTCCTCCACCTCGTGGCATGTGGTGCCCATGACAGAGGCCAGGACAGAGCACTTGAGGGGGGTCATCTTGACGGAGGCGAGGTTGACGGCGCGGAGGGAGCGCACGGCCTCGGCCGTGAAGCGCTCGTTCTGGAACTCGTGCAGGAAGAACAGGTAGTCCATCAGCTCCGAGGGGGGCAGCCCCTTGTGGCTCTTCCTGATGACCGTCTTCTTCATGGCCTTGGCGATCTCGAAGGCCGCCAGGTTCTTGATGGAGCAGCCCAGCTGCTCCAGGATGGCGCGGTTCCGGCGGGACAGGATCCCGCCCATGAAGATGGGGAAGAGCTCAAAGACCTCGTCGTCGGGGGCCTCGTCGGGGTGGCGCATGGGGCCCTCCACGCCCAGGATGCTGGAGTTGATCTGGTCCAGGACATCGTCGTTGTAGTAGTCCTCCTCCTTGAACAGCTCCTCTGCCATGGTGTGGGCGATGGCGTCCCGCTCCTTCCCGCTCAGCCGGGAGAAGTAGCGGGGGAAGATCTTGAGCAGGTTGAAGAGCACGGGCAGGAAGCGCAGGGGCAGCACCTTGGAGATGATGTTCACCACCACGGCCACGTCCTCGCTCACCCTCCCCATGACCTCCGACAGCTCCTTCCCCACCCTCTGGGCCAGGGTCTTCTTCTCGCCCAGCACCACGTAGAGGGCCGCCAGGTACTCCTGCATGGCCGGGATGGTGAACACGAAGGTGTGCTCCTTGCCTGGCTGCACGCACGGGCTGAGGAAGAAGCGGAAGACGTCGCTGCGGAAAACCTCCAGGAGGTTGAGCTCACTCTCAGTCTTCATCTCCACCTCAAAGCACTGCTGCAGGTCGTCCTCTGAGAAGCAGGTCTTGCGGTTCATCACCCCCTCGTAGGCCAGCTTGCCCACCGTCTTGGCCACGTACTTCATCATGGAGATGTTGGTGGGGTCGGTGCTGTCCAGCACCTCCCCGCTGAAGTTGAGCCTCAGGAAGCTGGTGTAGATGCCAGTGAGGGTCTGGGTGGGAGGCACCGTCCTGGTGAAGTAGAGGAAGTGCAGCGTGGTGCACACCAGCCAGCAGTAGGAGGGCAGGAAGCAGGCGGCCGTTATTTGGTTGTGGCGCTCCAAGTTCCTGGACAGCATCTCCACCAGGTTCTCCTGCTCGGCCGAGCTGCCAGCCCTGCTGCCCTCCCCGCTGCAGTCAGGATGGCAGAGGCGCATCTGGAAGTAGAGCTTCTGCAGGTTGGTGTCGGAGAAGCCGCAGATCTCGGCGTAGCGGCCCACGTACTTGGAGGGGATGCGGCGCACGGCCGACGGGCGCGTGGTGACGATGATGCTGGCCTGGAACCAGAGGGCTGGGTGAGCCTGGAGGGGCCCAGCAGGGTCCCAGGTGCATAACCCACACACAGGTACACAACCCACGCACAGCTGCACAAGGATCACCCCACCCAGTTCAAGAAGCTGCTGGGCAAAGGGCACTGGATCAAATAAGGCCCTGGCAGAGGGGATGGAAGGATTTTCCCCGTCCCCTGCTAGACATATGTGCAGTCTGGAAGACCACAGCCCAGCAGACTGCCTTCACTACCTTACCAGGCCTCCCCAAAGTTCCCACAGAGACCACCCAGAAACAGTGATGTGAGGCCACCTTAGTGAGTCCCTCCAGTCCCTCCCCTCCCTGTTTGCTCCCAGTCAAGCTGCACTACAAGTGATCACCTGAACAGCCCTGCCTGTGATGCCTCAGGGCCCACACCCAGCCTTTCTCCAGCACAAAGGAGCTGGGGAGAGACACCGACCTCGGGCAGGAGGTATTTTCTCAGCAGGTTGACCACGATGGCAGAGGGAGGCACGGGCTCGTTGGGGTCACAGCACAGCTCTGTGCCAGCCAGACAGAAATCCAGGTTGAGGCGCTCCAGGCCGTTGAGGATGAAGAGCACCTTGAGGTTGGAAGCCCCCAGCACGGGCACCACGTCCCGGAGGTGCTGGTACTTCTTGGTTATGAGGCGGCGCAGGGAGATGGGGGCATTGCTGTGGGACAGGTCCTCGCAGGAGAAGGGGATGACCAGCTCGAAGCGGGGCAGGCGGCCGTGGCACCAGTCCACCACCATCTTCTTGATGAGGGTGCTCTTGCCCGTGCCCACGGTGCCGTACAGCACCACGTTCTTCACCTGCCGCCCGCAGGCGTCCACGTCGAAGAGGTTGTGGAGGCTGATGACCTGCCTGCAGGGCTGCTGGAGCTGCTCCTGGATGGTCAGGTCAGGGGAGGGCTTCAGGATCTCCTCCAGGGAGCTCTCCCGGATCACTGGGTCCACGTGGACGGCGTCCAGAGAGAAGGAAGGGCCGAACTGCCGCTCTTCGTTGGGCTGGTGGCTGAACCACGCAGACAGGCTCTTCTGGTGCTTCTTGATGGCACCTGGGAGGAGGAGGGTGCTTAACAAGACAAGGGCAGGGGGCTGGGGAAGTTGCCTACCCCAAACCACTGCAACAAGGTGGCTGCAGCGAGGGGACAGCACCCAGTTCTTGCTGACCCTCCCACTGCCCAGGGCAGCAGCTGCCCCCAGCCTGCTGTGCAGGACCCTCCACCCAGCTCAGGGCTGCAAGCTCACCTGAAGAGGCCACGTTCCTCAGCTGGGACTGACTGTGGCGAGAGGAGCTGGGGTGGACAGGATTCTCCCCAGAGCCTCCCTGGTAGCCAACATAGCCCCTGCAAGAGGAGGGAGAGTGTCACAGGGAGGGCAGGGCCAGCAGCTCCCAGCCCTGCCTGGGGCAGGGTGGGCAGATCACAGGTGAGTGCCGTGGGAAGTGCTGAGTGGAGCCAGCTCACCCCTTCCTTCCCCCACACCAAGAGAGAGCGCAGGGCTGGGGCAAGGGCACGGCTGGGAACCAAGGGCAGGTCAGCAAGGCACGTGCTGTGCATCCCCAGCAAACCCACAGCAAGGCACAGGAGCGGGGCTGAAGGCAGAGCAGGCAGGGACTTGGGTGTGGGTGTTTTTCTAGGTGGAAGCAAAGCAGTGTCTGTGCCCACAGAGCCCTGCTGGCCCCAAGGCAGCCACCTCAGCCACCCAGGCCCCGTGGCAAACAGAGACCCAGTTGTGTGGCACTGTACCTGGGGAGGGAGATGCTGCTTGCACGAAGGATCTTCCTGAGGAAGCAGCTGCCTGCAGTGCCTGAGGGGGAAGAAGAACACAGAGTCAGGGATGGGC